TTTTCTCTCCTCCACCAGTTGTTTCATTCAACTGATAGCTTCTGGCCACAAGGAGGATGCCCTTAGCCTAAACAGAGCAGATCATGAACTACAGCCTTTCTGCTTGCTCCCATTACTGAGTATTATATTGACACCCTAATTGCTAGCTACTACAGACAATCTTATCCACCCGGACAATCTTAAAATTTTATAATCCCTGCAAGCCAGGGGGCACTGTAGGTGAGGGAAACTCATCTGGGCACTGCCCCTGCTACACTTCTTTCACCCAAACTGGCTCTTGCTCTGGGACCTCTGAAGATTCTGTGCTGTTTTGGAAGTACAACCAGCACTGCCAGAGCACGGGCAGTAAGAGACCACATCACAGCATGGCACAAGCATATCCTCATGCTAAAAAAGTGCCTCACAGTTTAGCTGCCCTCATCAGGATCTCCTCGAAGAGCTGGGCTCAGGTCATCAGGAGCTGTCAAATGCAGGCAGTAGGAGAGGAACAGACAAAGGGCAGAGTATACAGTATTTGTACAGCTTCCCAGTCCTTGAACTTCAGCATTCCTCTCCTGCAATTATTTATATCTAAATATAAGTCTGTATACAGAGAATAACTGTGCATGGGCACTCATGTTCTGCCCAAGCCAAGGAGACAGAGAATACCAGGATTATGCAGCACTCACAAACTACAGCTCCAAAACAGCAGCAGGGGAAGTGATGCACCAGCTTCTGAGTACCCCTCCAAGCGGCCCTTTGAGCTGTGGTCTCACCAGACAGGACAGCCCATCACAGCAGGAGAACGCTGCCCTTCCTACACTGCCTGGTTGCTCTCCATGGGACAGCAGCCCCATGGCATAAAGCGAGTCTCACCAGTCGGTGCAGTTGCCTTTGCTCTTCTTAGGAAGCCCAAAGTGGCAAGCAGGATCTGTGGAGGCAGACAATGGCACACTTGACTCCCGGTGGTGCTCCTGAGGCACAGGGCACTTCACTCTTGACCCTTTCTGGCATCTGCTGCCTGGACTCCAGTAAAGTCATCTGCTGAGGGAGACTGCAGCACACCTGGAGGCAAGGCTGTGCTGGTACCTGGCCTGCCCCAGTCTGCATCTTCCACTTTCCCCAGCCAGCCTCTAGCTGGGAGCAGCCACCAGCAACAGACCCTGGCTTTGCCATGTCCCCAAGCCCTCTACACTGCTGCCCACCGCGTCTTCCCTCACAGTGACCCAGGCAGCTGTGCCACATCCTGGATGCCCCCAGAAGCCAGCGAACAGCAAGGAGGGGGTCTCCACGTCCACTTCTCGCAAGCATAACAAGCTCAGCCCGTGGCAGTAAGCCCAAACGGTGCCCCGCGCTTCTCGTTCGTGATTTTTTTTCCCTTCCTCCTCCACCCCGGCCGCTCCAGCCCCGGCCCCCGCTCCGGACGGCGCTGGCTGCTGCTTCCCCTCCAGCCCCGGAGGCTCCGCGGCGATCCCCAGGTGACGGACGAGCGCTGGAGAAGAGGTGCGCTGGGGCAGCCTATCGGTGACGGGGACCGACCAGGGTGGGCATCCTCGCCTCCCC